TGCCACCAATTGGCTGTGTTCCTTGGTTTTCACTAAGGCTGTCTTACAAACCAGTCTGGCCTTCACAAAACTAACATTGTTTATTTAGTTACTTAATAAGATGTTTGAGAATATCAGTGTGCAACTCAGTTTCAATTTATATTTCTAAGAAAATTGAAAAGCATCTATTTCCTTTCACTTCACATATATAATCCTTTATAATGAACTATCATATACAATTACAATAAAATATATGGACTTTCAAAGGGGTATAAATAGTTGTGCAAGGCATTGTACAATATGGTTTCCAATGGGAGACATAATGAGATTGAACGCATTTCCCCTTTCCCTTTCAGATCTACATTTGTGCCTGGCTTGGCTCCTCCTAAGATCCCAGATGGTGAAAAAGTGGACTTTGATGTAAGCTAATATTTGATCAAATCCAAACTTACTGTTTTGGATTTGGATAAATTTTTCCCTAATATTTCATCCCTTTATTCCAGGACATTCATAGGAAGCGTATGGAAAAGGACCTGACTGAGCTGCACACGCTGATTGAAGCTCACTTTGAGAAGCGTAAGAAAGAAGAGGAAGAGCTGATTGTGCTCACAGATCGCATTGTATGTTTACCTCAAGACACAGCTGACACTGGTGCAAATGAAAGTTCCCATGCTAGTTCTTAAAGTTTTCAATTGAAAGGATTTCTCCTGATGCTTAGGGTTTGTCTCGTTGTTTTTCCCAGGAAAAACGCAGGTCTGAGAGAGCTGAGCAGATGAAGATCAGAGCCGAGAGAGAACGAGAACGGCAGGCCAAACTAGCTGTGAGTGGAAGCTGAAAACTAATGCAGTTTAGCAAGTAACTATAGCTTATTTGAAATTCTTACTGATGAAATGCGATTTGTAGATCAAATCTGTTTCTTTCAAACAATAAGGAAGAGAAAGCAAGGAAAGAGGAAGAGGAAGCTAAGAAGAAAGCAGACGATGATGCAAGGAAGAAGATGATTTTGTCCAATCTGAGTTTCACCGGATACAATGTAGTAAATCTGCAAGTTTGACTGGTTGCAAATAACTTTAGCTTTAATAACATAAAGCTACATCATTTTTAAAGTTTAATCAGTAATACTTTTGTAACAAATTTTTGTTAGATTATAATTTCTTGGTTAATGTCAGGTTGTCATAACAAATACATTTTGAATAATGTCAACTTTTTATTAAAAGTGTCATGATTTACTGAATGACACATTGTGACAACAGTCATAAATATTCATAAAGACTTACTCAGGTGTTACGTTATGTTTATTACGGTGTCATGATAGTCTTATTCACAACCAGTAAAATAAAGTGTTATCAAATTATGTTCACTGACATCCAATATCATGACTAGGTAAAATTATTTACCATTGATGATCTATGGATTTCTAGCAAACACAGCCTGGAACTAAAAGACAAACAGAAAGAGAAAAGAAGAGGAAGATCTTAAATGATCGCCGCAAGGAGCTGAACATTGATCACTTGAAGGAGGACAAACTGAGGTTGGGAGTATCCATTGCCACACAAAGATGTAATCATTTCTTAGCTTAAATGAAATTAATCTATTCAAATATGTCTTTTTCTGTCTTCAGAGAGAAAGCAAAGGAAATGTGGGACTGGATGCGGCAGCTTGAGGCAGAGAAATTTGACCTTCAATTTAAGTACACGAAGCAGAAGTATGAGGTAAAGCTGCTGACACTCTTTTTGGCATAGTAGCATGTGCACAAAGATTGTGTTTGGAACAGAAACATTCAGGCATGAAGAGCTACAAGAAATATTTTAAGGGACACTTGCAGAAATTATGTACAATAGAGCTAAACAACTTTCTCTGTTGTTCCAAATGGAATTAAGCAGATAAAGAAGCTCTGTTAGGAATGTGCAGATAACATAGAGACACAGCTGACACTTTCCAACATGTTAAAAAATAGTAACATTTTTGAACAATAGTTCATTGCAAAGGTAAGCATATACTGAAAGACTCCTCCAAGGGCTGCAGGACTTTAAAGTCTGCTTTACATATTTGGGGTTTTATGTATTCAGACCACCTCACTCTTAGAAAGATATTTTCTGAGAAATTAAGCTTTTTTTTCATGTTTACTTCCAGCATGCTTTCATCCAGTTTAGTGCTCATGGTGAAATAACTAAAGCTAATTTGCTGTGTCAAAAACTTTACATCATTAAAATTCCGCTAATTAAAAACAAAGATTTTCCTTTTTGGAGACTTTTTACGGAATTTGAAAGTTTTGTATGTTTTTCAGATTCTTTGCCTTTTACAAGATGTTTCTGAAAGCCATTTTTGCAGAGCATTTCAGACTGATAAATTCTACTTGTCATTCTTATGGATTGTTTTGACCATTGAACAAAAATTATTTCTCCCCTTTTTACTTTGAATTAGTAGATTTAAGGACATGACAAGATGAAAACACTCCTTTTTCACATGTCTGAAGTCTAAATTTTTAAGTTTTTTTCAAATTCATTTGACCATCTGATGTCTGAACCTGCTTATATTTAAAAAAAGGTCTTAAAAGGGGACCAGGTGCCTATGTTCAGCAGTCATTGAGCAAAGGTCTGGCTGGATTTAGTCAGACAATAGCAAAAAATGCCTGACAATATCAGAACAGACTTATGTTATAAATTTAAATTAATTGACTCTGTTTGTACTTCTTTGCACAGATTACAGTGCTCAGGAATCGTGTGAGCGATCATCAGAAAATGTAAGTCTTTTCTGTTGTTCTGTCTTTGCGGAAGCAAAGTAGGAAAATAATGGCAACTTGTCTCATGAAGTTTAATTTCAAATTCAACATCCTGCAACCTCCATCCCAGTTTCATGTGTTGAGGTTTTTATTTGTGCAAAAACTTTAAAACATTTCTTATTTGTTTGTCCCCTTTACATTAGCCACTTAAAATCCAGATATAATAGAATAAGATCTGGGCTCCAGGGATTGAAAACTTTTTAAAGTTACCGTTAGCAACATAACTAGACCTTGATCTTCCTGTTCACACTCCGCCAAACACATTGGCTTTACAAAAAACAGAATTAGCAAACATGTTTGACCAATCAGCAGCAGGATGTTTCCAAACCATGCATGAGAATTTAGACTCAGGGGATAAAAGAGCTGAAAGTGGAAGCACAACAGCTGAAAGGGGTTATTATCTCAGCTGTTTGATGACATTATCTCTGCTCATGTAGCTGAGAATTAAACAGTGGCTAGTATTACATGCTGTCATTGAAATCATGTGTGCTACTCATGCAGGGCTACTTGAAGTTGTAATTCAAACAGGTCAGTTGGGGTTCTTTGTTTGACATTGTTGTCCTCCCAGCTTTTTTGTCTGTAGTTTGACTGATTAACTGTTTATTAAATTAAGTTGAAAAACCGTTTGTTAGAAAAAATATTTATACATAAAATTGAACACATTTAATTTTGAAAAATGTAGCCCCATAATTGATAATAAAAACTGCTGCCCTAAAATTCTAAACATTTTGAACATACAGAAAAAAAAGAATAATAGCATTCATTCAATGTGAAAGATCAAGTAAGGTAACGAGATGATGACTGGGATTATTGCTCAGTCCTTTATTTCACAGAAGACAGGGGAGTGAAATTCAGTAAATCCTAAAGTTAAATTCTCATCATGCAATTTTTCTATGGAGTCACTCCTCTTCTGTTCATGATCAATATGTTGATCATGAACATTCATGATAATAACTGGTTCTTCAGAAGTGTGTACTATGCACAGTGATAGTACTCTGTAAACAATGTGTGCACAGGAAATATTTCACATATGAATGCACTGTATTTACATTTAGAACTACCTTTGATCACATCCCACTTGTTTGCTATTATATACAAACATATATTTTGTGTGTATGTGTGTATATAGCACAAATAACATTTGCTATGGTTGTTGTGGCAACCAACGACTCACCGATAAATTCACCTTTATTATGGTGTCTGTTAATCAGCATTGCAGCAACAACACTGTCGTAATGCTGAACAAACATCATTACACAAAACGAGTCACTGCATAAAAAAATATTACATGATGAGTGTTTGACTTGAGCATTTTCTGAGCTTCACTCCCCTGTGTTCTGTGAAATAAGACACAGAATACAGGCAGGGGTTATTCCTCATTAACCTCAGTCAAACTTTAAAGTTTTACTTCAAGTTTAGATTTTTTTTGTAGGAAATTTACTTGATTCACTGGCTGTTAAAAATCTCAAAAGTCAGAGTAAAAAGATATGTCATCTCAAGAGTCTATACTTGGAGAAATGCTGTAGTTTGTTTCCCATCTGATTTGTCAAATCTCTGCTGACTTTATCTTCATTCTCAGCTCAAAAGGCACCCGGAGCAAGCGAGGCCTGAGGAAGTAACACCTGCTGCAAAATCTGCCAACCTTGATTATTCTTACAGAATGTTCCATCGAACTGATAATTGTGTTTAAGATTCAAACTAGTCAGATCCATTTCAGATTTCTGAATATATAAACTAATACATTGTATAATGTGCTTTCTTGGAAACAGCTGAAAATCTTTAAACCAACCAGCTACTTGGTGACAAGTGATTATTGAAGTCTGTAAACAAACTTGTGGGATGAATAAAAGCACAAATTTATTGTAATTTATTAAACAAATAAATTGCAATATTTGTTTTTTGTTTGTTTTTAACTTAATGTGAGCTTTAAAAACTTCAGTCGTTCTTAAAGCATCAAGTTCTTTTTTCTGTATTCTGGCACAACAAACCCAAGAAGGCTTGTTTTCTGCCTCTCTGTTTTCTACAAATTATGTCATGCAAACATACAAATCCTTCAATTCTTGATTGGTTGAAACTGGGTCAGACTGTGGAAAAATGCAGTAAAAGAGAATCTTTATTTATATGTTTGTTTTCCTGGAGGGAAAGCTAGGCAAATCACCAGGGTGAGGCACGACTGGCAATCTGCCAGAGGCTTTTCAGACTCTGGTGCCAAAATTAAGGAGAAATAACAGGGCGTGAAAAGGTTTGCAAAAATATTCATTCTGCAAAAACAATTACAAAACAATGATTATCATCTCTCCTCTTTCACTACACTACACATCTGCTAGTGATACTGCATCAACTCAAAATGGCAAATTTTTGGATTGCACATGAGAAAATACAGATAAAACAGAAAAAAAATCAATGACTAAAACAATATCATTTATAAGGAACATGTTTTATACTGCTGCTTATTTTACACAATCAAAATCAATTTTACAGCATTGCTACATTAATATCTTACAGTGCTAAGTAAAAAAAAAAAAAAAGAAAGAAAGAAAGTTGAATTTCTAAACACAATTTACCATAAAAGACATTTAACTGACAAGACAATACAAGCAATTCTATTGTAAGGAACTTTATTGCTGCCAAACTTCTCCTTCACCTTTTATTCCTACATTAAACACATATCTTGCAGCACATGCACAGGACAGAAATGCTTTATATAAAGCTTCTGGAACATTTTTTTCTGACTTTTGAAGCGACGATGTTCTGCCTCATTGGCTCTGGGTCCTTATGACGTCCAGGTGCAGGTGAGTTTCTTCAGGGTATAAAAAGCCTTCAGCTGATCTTTTAAATTGTGTTACTCCACAATGTGGAGAGATTTTTGTGCTGCCATGGTGACTTCATTGATAAACATAGACTTGCTCAACCCAAGCTGGAGGAAAAATAAATCACACTGAAATCAGTTTTTTTTTTCTCCCTCTCTTTGTAATTACTGAGTTAACAAAAACAGGCGCATTCGGAAGCTTTCAAACATGCTAATAAAACATTCTTAACAATGTACTTTGAAGTGGAAATGTAAAACTTTGGGACCACAGTTGTGTGCGTATAAAAATCAAGTCGAATGTGTGATTCATCAAACCTGACCTACTGGATTCCATAGCATCATCAGTACCAGTATATTTTTTCACTTAAACTTTCATGGGAACCATGACTAATCCAGCAACCTTTCCTCGTTCTTCTCACAAATTGCCAAGTGAGGCGTGGACTTCTGTGTCTCTATGTTGCTCCTAGGAAACATAGAGGACACACCCAAAGACATACAAGTTTTGGCCTTCAGCTCACCTTTTTCAAAGAGCTCTGAAGTTCTTTATTAGACCACATTCTGATAAGAAGAACTGAAGCCGCTTTTTTCGATTTGGGAAAATAACTAAAAAAGGAAAGGAAAAGTAGAAACATATTAGTTGAATTTATGTGAGAATTCTGACAGACACGACAAATATATATTTATTTTAGGCACATGTGGAAAGATTTTATATCTGTATTTATGCCAGCTCACATGTTTTGGCTGATTCTGCTCAGGGATTGAATCAGTTCTTTCCTCAAATGTAGTTTGGTACATTCAACGTTACTCAGAACCAGGGCGCTGGTAGCCTGACAGGCTAACGCAAGAGTGTCATCGGACTCGTTGGCTCCAGCCGTGTCTTGTGAGAGGACACTTAGTAGGACTGGGATGCTTTTTTCACCTGAAGTAACAAATCCAACAAGATACATTTAGTAGAGAACACAAGTAAACACTTGTGAGGTTGCACATGCATATTTAGGATATTGGATTTCAAAGCCACAAATATTTGCAGAAATTCACCAAGCAAACATGACATGCACAACATGATTCTGTTTTGACCTGCTTCTTACCAACAACACTGTGCAGATTTGGGTTCTTGATCAAATTTATCACCAAACCCATTGCGTTCTTCTGCATGTTGACTTTATCTGACGTTAAGAAGGGGGAGATATAGTGCATGCCTTTCAGTTTCTTCACAATGATCTGACTTATTACAGAAGACGCCTGCAGAAACACAAAAGCATACTGGTTCATAAACCCAGTTAAAGTCAATCTACAATATAACCATGTTGTTATTTTGCAGTGTTAACATGTAAAAAAACATGCGATTAAATCAAAGTCAAAATGCTACTGAAAATTATATCAACATAACATTATAATGTTCAACGTCAAACAAAAAAATGTGATGACAGTTGAAGATATTTTAGCAGTGGCCACGTTGGAGACTGGCTAATGCCACACCTACTTTTACAAAGCGACAGTATTGGTATATGTGCAATGTGGAGATGCAGACTTAAAATTTCACAGTGATATTTTGAGGTACTTATTGTGAAAATGACACATGTGCACCAAAAGTGTTTAAAAAATCCTCATGGCATTTTTGGCAATACATCTATCATGGCAAGAACAGTAGGAACATATTATGCATATTTCTTTTTGTTCTGATACAAAAAATGTTTTTTGATTTCAGAAACATTCTTCACTCCCAATTGATTGTTGTGAATTTGTCTCTTTACCAATTTGAACCCCATTTGACACCCACACATTATCCTTTTGTCCCTCCTACTTCTGTTTTACACCTGCAAACAAATCATTTCACACCCACATACTTAACTACAAAACATTAGTTTTTTTTTAGTTTTTTTTTAGTAAGTTAATTGTTTCAATGGATCATGAAGACAAACAATCATAGAACTGCTCAAATCCAATGTATAAATAAACTAAGTATTATATTATTTGGCCTTCATTCAAGAAAAAAATCATTATTGGCAAACAGTAAATGTTAAAGTCACATGAGACAATATCTTTACTATAAACTATGAGAATATTGTAAATATTGACTCAAATGATCAGATTTTAAAACAGGTACGAAACATCCTCGTGGTAGGTAAAACTGATACATATCTGACGTTAAAAAGTTTAAACTGCAAAACGACAAAACAGCACTGAAGTGAAATCTCCAGCACATTTTCTAATTTATAATTTGTTCTTTTGTATTTTTTTAACATGAAAAAATTCCTTTGCTATTCTCAGCTCTAGACAATGTTAGAATTTAAATTGCTTACAGAGTGAATGTAACTTACAGTGCTTTCATGCACAGTGAGATTGTGCAGTATGCCCCAGCAGCCATCCTGTATTGATTGGTTCTCGGACAGCTGAAGCAGAGACAAGTAATCCTGCAGTGTTTTGGAGTGGATCAAAAGGCTTGCTCCACAAGGCTGCGAATCCTCAGTGACTGCATAGTCAAAGGTACACTACATAAAAAAATTTAAAAAAACATTATTTTGATGAGGTTTTCAAATGTCATTTTTTGGAAAGCACTATGATGGTAACATAAAAGTAAACTGCATGTACTAAACTAAGCTGCATGTTTTATCTTAATTTACTTCATATAAGTTTAAGTCTAGACAAAATAATGGATAATTGTCGGTTTGGTTTAGAAGTCATCAAGAATCTACTGGGTGAAATTGTCTGACTCACATCAGTCTGTAGGGGTTTGCTTTGTGCACTGAAGCAGCCAACAGAGTTGGCGTTATTGCCATTACTGATCATGTTATTCCCCAAAGAATTTATGTTGTTGAACAGACTTGGAAATTCTTCTTGCAGGTGAAATGTCAGATTGTGCAGAATGCTCACACAGTTTACTAAAGCCTATGGACATATAAAAAAAAAACACAAACACACACATCAGGAGACATGACACATACATGCACACAATGAGAAACAAACTTCACAAAATATGCTTCTTTAGTTTGAGAAACAAAATCTTTTCCTGTTTTTACCTCATCTTCTGTTTTATTGTTTTCCACACATTCTTTCAAGTAAGCGACTAAGCCGTCGATCAAACCTCGATATTTCCTCATCGTCTGTCTGCTGTCCTGCTTTGCACTGCTGAGGTTTCTGATGAAATCAAAGCCCAAGATATGAGTACATGTCTGAGTAACTTGGGTTTTTTTTTCATTTGCACAATGCAAACAACAAAAACAAAAAGGCAGAAAAAAAGAAACCGTTGAAGCAAAAGCTGAGAAGATCCTAAAGTCTCAATAGGCAACCTACTCTTGATATAAAATAAGAAAATCAAATACATCTGTACAAAATCAATTCAAATCATATTTAATTTGAAATTAAAATAGAATCTAGAAGGTTTTTGAAAGAATGCATGTATTTCACAATTCGAGGATGAACAAATTTTTCAAGTATGTGGGAAAGAGCACATAGTTGGTCACAGAAATTACCGATAGTGAGCTTCTTTTTGCACGGGAGTTGCAATAGAAATTTTGTTGAATCCTGTTCAATGACAATAAATGCTATTCTATTCTATTCTATTCTATTCTATTCTATTCTATTCTATTCTATTCTATTCTATTCTATTCTATTCTATTCTATTCTAACTACTTATAATCTTGAATATTATACCTTTTTTAAGACATAGAGAGAGAACATCTGTGAGGGACTCAGCAATTGCAATGATGGATAAATAGACAGTGCCATCAAGCAGACAAATTTGAAATTCAGGCTGATGTAACAATGGAAGTTTAGATGTGTCAGTATTGACGTAAAAAATATCCTACAGTTCTCAACAAACTTGTGTCTTTGGAAAAATGTCAATCATCTGCCATCGAGGTTTGAGAAACTTTTAACACTGATTATGATGATGTTATGATAAAGCAGACTACAGTTTCAGCTCTTGCACAACGGCCCTGGATGTCAGTCAAAAATTCAACACTGCAGGCATGCATATATTTTTGCAGTAGATAAGGTGGTTGTCATCATTTTGCTATAAATTTCTAACAGTGGTTTGTGTTGCTCAATATCTGTTACAAGGTTAGAGGTGAAAAGTTGTCAAACTCGAGAATTAACTCAGCAGAGGCTTAGTACTACAGCAAACACCTCAAACAGATTCTAGACATTGTAAAGATAATAACAAAAGAAAATTATGTAAGAAAAAACAACAGCAGGGAATTAGCAATGAACACAAGAGAATTTTTTTCCCCAGACACCTAAAACATTTACAGAGAGTCTGACAGCTCAAGGTGTGTGCAAAACACCAAAAGCAAATTGCGCCTGATTCTTCAGTGTTGATATTCATTTTTCCTTTCCAACAAAAACATATAAATTAGAAAAAGAAATGTCTCAATGGACAGAATCATAAAGATTCCATTCATCGCATTTATCATGCAACTGTTGCCGTCACCATGGTGTTGTTTCTGGGTTTGTAGTTGCAGTTACCCAAACCCTCATTCACTTTCAACCTTCTAAGCATGTTCAGACACATTCTGTCATCCGATGTCTCCAGGTATTATTATTTTCAAAGAGAGAAAGGCCATTTATTTGACAATTTCCTTGTTCAGCTCTAATCTGTATCAGCAGGTCTTATGCTCAAACATAATAGATAAGAAAAACATACACATTTAAAAATCAATTGTTAAAAAGTATGCACTTTCATAAATACTTCTTGAATTTTCTGAAAATAAAAATGTCATGCTTTAATGAATAAATGGAGATAATCTTGTAATTCCTTCTTTTTTCATTGACTTTTAAAAATGGTTACTTTTACAGTGGAGCCTGCAGCACATTTTTCTCTTTCATGTTTTAGAGAACTAAATCGGCAGTTGTGATTAAAAAAATATTGAAAATCTGTGTAGTCCGAATTTCTGCAGCTCAAATCTTCAATCTAAATTCCCATTTGTGGAAAAAATGATACACAAAGCCAAGTTCTACTAACTGCTTTCGAAGAAGTTTAAATGTCAGCGTCGTGGTGGGAATCTACAAAGAAATTTAAAAAGGTAATCTGAAGATTCTCTAAAATGCAGAAGAGTCACATGAAGCACAAAACTGGACTCTGTATCTCACCCAAGGCATGCTGTGGCGCTGCAGAAGACATCAGCACTGACAGTATTTCTAGAGCCTGTCATGTAAGGCGCAATCACTCGCTCCATTAGAACAGGCAGAGCATTCTTCAGCAGGTCTCTCTTCAGGTTGTCTACAGACGACAAATTCCACAAAAGACCTAGAGAAAAAAGAAATGTCAAAATGTAAGCTAAGTTTGTTAAAATACAGCCTCAAAACACCCACAAAGGCATTTTCCCTTTAAAGCTAACTAAATAAAACTGTTCAATTTATCATTTTCAGCAGGAAGCAGGATGGGTGTTAGCAGTATAACTGAAGCACCAGTCTCGTTTCACAGAGGACCAGAATTCAACAGTATTATGTAACACCAAAACAAGCCACTCTCTGTCTGACTTGTTCATTTGGGCTTTTGTATGCATGTACTCGTACATATACAGATTTTCATTTCAAATCGCTACTGTGTACCTGCCAGGTGTTTATCCAGTTCTGCAGATTTTGAGTCTTTGAGCTGAGCAACCACCTCGGGTATGCCTTCGTAGCGTTGGATCTCTTCTTTGCTTTTGTTGTTCTGAAAGGTCAGATTTCGCAGAGCGGCAGAGGCCGTGCATTTGACCTGTGAGTTGGGGCTTTTCAGCAGACCAACGAGAAGGGGGATACCTTTCAAGGCAAGAACCTGCAAGGCAATAACAATAAACTCATTAACAAAGACACTGAGAAACACTTGGTTTTAATCATTAAACAATAGTTATGTTTGAAATAAATTGTGCTTTTAATAAAAAAGTAAATAAAAATAAGACTGATTCTGTTCATTTTTCCTTGAGGATTCCATCAGTTTGTTCACCTTTCTCTCCTTGATTCAGTACTCAGTATATCCTGACCTGGATTCAAATTACCCAACAAAGCACAGGGGACTTTCAGGAACACTCACATTCATTTTCATTCTCATGAGTCTAACATTTTGCATTTTGACCCCTCCCTTCCAGTTGAAGTAATAATTTTGTCTGCTTCAAATTCTACTCCTTTCTCATTGCAAGATGAGTAAATTGGTTAGTCTCCAACCCAAAAAGATATTTTGCTTCAGTTGCATTGCTGTAGATTGAAATTCTGAAGCTAGTTTTATGGTTTTACCGCAGTGTCTTTAAATGGATCAGATTTAAAATAACAACAAATAAAGGATAATAATGTCCTGGTAAATAATCAAATGCAGGTTGAAAATGATCAATTTATACTGAGCACATTGTATCAAATTTGATTTAGCTGGATGATTTAAATATCAACAGAATACAAAGAGTGTTAAATCAGAATGAGTTAAGGCACCTCTTCTTTTGCTCTGTTGTTATTGAAAGTGTCGTGCTGAATGTAGGAAGCGCCACAGTTTTGGTGTTTCTCATCTTTACTGGAAAGAAGCTGCACAGCTTCTTGCATAGTGATGTTAGAACTCACACTGTTTTCATTTACTCTGAAAAAGAAAAAAATGCATTTCAATGTATCTCATAAACAACCTCTAAACAGGTAAGTTGATCCAGTTTATTAATATGAGAAATGTGTTTTTTTGGGGGGGATTTTCAGACTCACTCTGAGTTTATTTGAGTCTTGGAAGTAGAATCAGTGACGGTGTGTTGCGACCGTGTCTTGTTCATTTCAGGTTGACTGACACTGACCCTGTACTGGCTGTGCTTGTGCATCAGACCCGCTCCATTTAAAGGATACAGAGGGTGGGTTTGGGATGTGGTCCTCCTCATTTTGTGATTGCTGTTGCTGTGTTGTTTCATGTAGGTGCTCCTGTTGCCTTGCGGTGCTACGGTTGGTCGTATCTGCATTGGGACATACGACTGTGGGACGCCGGTGTTCAAGACCTGTCCGGGCTCGCTGCGACTGGTGTTCGCAAGACCCAGACTGGCTACACCGCCAATAGCGCCATACCTGCTCTCATAGTGATTTATAGTCTGCTTCCTCATCGTGGATCTTTTCATGTTATTGATCATTTGTTGGTTATTCCTATTTCTGTTTGTGGTAAACTGGAGAAATGAAGAGAGAGAAAAAAACAGCATTATCAAGAGAAATACATAATGTCTTAAAAGGACAGCAGTGAAGCAATGACACAATAAACCAAACAGTGAAAGACTGTTGACTTCTGAGACCCAGTGGTGCAATGGCTTCTACTCTTTGTGTAAAATGAGAGCTTTAAAAATGTTTCATTTATGTCAAAGAAAATAAAATGTTGTGGAGTATATAAGACTTTTTTCTAATTTATAGGGAGGAGCAGTACAGGCTCTTGAACTTCTGTTCCCTTTTTCTGGACAAAAATTTTCAGAAAAATGTAAAGTTTTGCACTGGCTATGAAATTAAGTAAAAATTGTTGTCGAAAAACCCAATTTTAAATAATTTCACAAATAAATTTATATTTAAAAAGAGGAAAAAATAACAATAGCATGTTTGGAGTATCAAGGGTTGGACTGAAGCAAAGATTCAACAGATTGCTGTGTGTGTCAGAAACTAAAGACGTACAGAAAAGCTTTGGAAGATGAACTCACAAAAATTTTCCGGTCTATTAAAACTATCTCTGAGAAGAAAACAACCCTTGAATGTGAAAATGTCAGCATCAAAAAAGAAGGAAAGAAAAACTCACAACTTTTGAGGAGCCATTGCTCAAAGAAACACCTCCATTAGATGAACTCAACTGAGACTTTGAGGCATCAAGAAACACAGAGTCATACTCAGTGCCTGGGAAGAGAAGTTAAAGGTTATTAGCTTCTATCCAGCGCTCAGAACACACCTCTTTTGCAGCCAGTGATTTAAATCCTTTGCCTGTGGGAAAACAATAAACTGCTTTGAATCTGTGACTGCACCTTTCATCTTCATCTATCCCTTAAAGCATGAATTGCTATGAAAATGTAGAACCAGTAATGATTGGTGCCAGAAACAAAAAAAGCACTGAAGTTTGAAGTTACAGCAAAAACAAATTGGACTCTTATTTTCTTTAGAACAAGCATGTAACAATAAAATTGACATTTTAATGATAACCATAAACTGCTGCTATTATTACTGTCATAATTACAATAAATTGACAGCTTACAGGTTTCAGCTTTAAATGGCATTTGCAGGAAAAAAATGGGGCTATTGAATAAACAAACTATTCTGTTTCTTTTTATAACCAAGAAATATCTGAAATGTTTTGTCAACATTGGCATGGATGTGATTCACATAAGAGAAGGGATTAGGGCAGTAAGTTGAACATTAACTCACTGTATTCAGTCCAAAAACTTTGTCACCATTGAATAAGTCTCTATTTTAGAAGTGTTTGGGTTTTTTGAAACCAATAATTTATTAATATACATGTAAATCATTTGTTCTTTTCCTTAGTTGTTGTAATTAATCTTTCTTAAAATACTTTTTAAACAGCAAACTCAAAGTTTTTTTTATTTTGTCGAAAACTAGTCATTGGTAAATCATTGCAGATGTTTAAAACTGAAGGGAAGCAGCAATATATCGTATTCTTATCTTCTTTTTAAAAAAAAAAAACTAGAAGGACAGTAAAGCCTATGCACACTTCATATAACCAGCAAAGTTTATGAGGGTGTAATAAATTACATGACTAATTTATCGACCTCTCTCTTTTTCTGCACCATAAAACACCTTAAGATGTGAAACTTTAACACATATTTTTACTTGAAAATTTATCCAGCTTAAATTCAACTCTGCCATATCCTGCTGAAATGTGTGTAGGCTACAGTAAAGCAAAGGTCCCTCTCACTTGTTGGGGAAAGAGTAGCAGATCCGCTCCTGCCGCTGCTGGAGTGCCTCGACTTTGTCCTCCTGATGGATTGCACTTGCGCCCTGACGCGCTGCTCCTGCGAATTATACTCATTCGCCGACGGCAGAGCCAGCGACGTGTCGTCCGAGCTCTTGATGGAAATCGCCGATTTCAGGGGATCCGCACTCGACATTTTGCTCAGCCTTTAGACAGCGAACTCAACATACGAAGGATCCGGCAGCCGAAGGAAAGTCAGCGTCGGCAGAGTGTGAACAGCTCACCTTGCTCTGCGCTGCGCTGCGCTGCCCTGAGCGACGAAACCGCGCCCACATGAAACCACAATAGACCTGCAAGACTGGACTTCTACTTGCAGGATAGACGAGCTGCACACATCAACCAACTCCCTTTTTTCCCACAATGTGAGCAGGGGGAAGTTGTGGCAGTACATATTTAAGTAGATATTTGGCTCTCCCTATTCTGCGTAAAGTTTTTCTTCTGACCTAATTACAGGGGTAGAGTGAAAAAACCATTGTATTAGTGATTATAACTAAAACTAACTTTATTTGATCTGGCCATCAATAGGTGCAGGCCAAAACGAAGAATAGGCTATTATTGAGCAGCTATTTCAGCAATTTTACTCAAAAAGTAAACATCGCGACAAATGTCTTAATTCACACATTGTGAATTACACAGAATATATATTTCAATAGTTTATTTTTATTCATTTGAATGATTATTATACCTAATCAAGAATCATAATTCAACTTCTCTCGAAATGTGCAAATTATGAAAACACATCATTTTGTACAAATGTTATGTTATGATCCTACCAGGACCCGTTCAACTAAATTGCAGTTAGTTTGGCAATTTATAAGGTAAGTCACAGAAGATATTTTTTGTTGAAGCTGCCTTTTAACGTAATGCTGTTAATGGAAAGTTCAGTAGAAGAAAAAAATGGAACTGAAAATGTTCATTAAACAAGAGGGATAACCACAGCATTCGAGGGACTTAACACTGCAGCTGGAGTCACTTGAAGAAAAATGTCACTTAATTTCTAAGTCAAGATCTTGAGAAAAAGTACAGAGGTACACAGAATACAAGAAAAGTCCACGGACAGAAATGACTTGGAGAAGCTATGCCTCTGTGATAGGTTGTACATTATGGTTTCTTAACTTGAGAATTAGAGATATGAGACATCCTTTCCTGGCCTAAACCTCATAGAAAATCTGTGGAATATTGTGAAGAGGAAATCACCAGACCAAACAGCACAGGGTGACATGAAGGCTGCTTTTTATGCAACCTTTGCTTCCTTAACACCTCAGTTCTACTGTGAGCTGACTGATCTTCATGATATACTGAGTCAATGGAGTAGTTTATGCAAAAGAAGCCCCAACCAATTTTTAAGCTCACTTTCTAAACCTTGTATCAATATGTTTTTTAGTAGGGTAATATTTTAACATAAAAATCAATTTGATCATTCTTATAACACAAAAAAGGATGAAGAAACCTGACGATAGATATTACTCCTATGCAACAGGTTGGCCTTTTTCGGCTGGATTTTACGGTGCAAACAGATGATATGAAACGGAGTTTAGGTGGAACAGCAGATTTATTCCTCCCAGCATCACAAACAATAAGTCACACTCTTGGTCTCACAAATCTCAATGTCTCAATATCTGTCTCACAGGTGAAAATTGCAATCTTAAATAGTCCCAGCTGTGACAGATAAAACAATCTGAAAATTCATAAGGTAATCCCATCTTACCCTGTTCCACTTAATTGAATAAAATACATTTTACTACAACCACATCAACTTCCTTTTTATAAATATTTTTTGTTTTATTCTTACCCTTACTAAAACACCATAAAACAGTACACCATAAAACAATACACCCCTCTCCCATTCTTCTCAATGGTCTCTCCCAGGACCTATCACATTGTCCAGCCCCTTAGGACAATATTTGTCCAAACATCCTAAGAGGACAGAAAAAGACAGGCGAGTCACTATATTAGCACATTCCCCACCTAATAAATTATGCACACCATTTACTTAGTTTTATCCACCAATAGCTCATTGCTCTGAGTACCAATTATCCTTTCTTCACAGTCAACCACCTCCACTGGCCAATGAGGAGCAGCTGTGCAGAGCCCAGAACAAAGGCTACACACTAATACCTAAAATACTCAATAAATACAATTAAAACTTCCTGTGTGCAAAATATTATTAATTTATAGATCTACTTTAAAAGTGCAGTGCTAAATAAAGTGCATAGTGACAAAGTGCAAATGTTTTTTTTTACAGTGCTATACAATACATTGAATAAATTAATTCAGTAATGAAGGCCTCTTCATTACATCCTATCACCAATCTGTATTTTGCTGAGTAATGTATTAGGCAAATACATGCAAAGGACTCATTTGCAATAGGTAAGCATCACGTTGTAATTTTTGACCTTTTGACATACTGAGCAAATGCTACTAAACAAATTATAAATGCATTCTATCATTGTGTGACTATCCTTGAATTTGACTCAAATTCTATTTTTTTTTAAATGAAAGCATCTCTGTTGGAAACTCAAAACAGACATTACAACCTTGTTTCATTACGAAGCTGTAATGAAACAGACAACTAACTAGTCCTTTCAGTCGGAACAACAAATTATATCAAAACAGCCTTGTTTTCTCATCACAAACCTGTAAACTAAAAGGGCTTTGAATCATGGTCCAAGTTGGCTCTAATTTAGGAAAATATAAAATAATTAGTTTGTGAGCCAATATCATTCCAACTGGATTTGAAATCAGGTTTGACTCCAGGAAATTGGCAGCACAGTACCTTTTTCACATGGACAAGTATACAGAATAGCCTCCAAATATAATGTATTATTCAAGTGAGCGCTCGGGGGGGGAAGGGTAGTGCTGCTCTCTGGGTGTACATGTGGCAGCTGGCAACTTTGGCTTAAGTAAAATCCTCCTGTCACCTGTCTTGAAATCTGCGGTGATGTTGCACACGCCATTTAAAAGTCCATCTGTTAAATACAGTAAGACCGCCCTCTGGTGGCGAATGTATGAACTTTCTGCCAAACTATGCTGTGTTGTTTGTGCTCCTTTTTTGTATCTCCTTAAAAGTTGGAATATATTTAGAATTTTATGACGGACCAACAAAGACGTCAAAATATAAGAAGAAAAGTTGCAATAAAGACATCAGCATTTGAATTGTAACATGGCAAAATATTAAATAAAAATAAAGACAAAAAATAAAATAAAAACGAAAAACAAAACAAATTTGAAACAGTGTGGTGGCATTTAAAAAGTATTTATTATTGTTTCCATGATTCATCTTCATCACAATCTTTACAGGGGAATGAACAAAATGTTTGATTTAAGAACTACCAAGTGTTTCACATCATGGTTTTAGAGCAACACATTCAGTCATGTGGCAGCACAAATTAAGCAAATGTAATGTAAATCAACATCACTAATAATATATTCATCTTAAAAATTTCAGTCATCCAGAAAACTTTGGAAAAATCGTTTTGATGATCAAAAAGGTCAAATTCAAACTATTTCCATAGCTTAATAATACATGAAGCAGGAGTGGAGATTGTCTCTAAAACATAGACATTAATAATTAATAACGGTTAGCAAGAAAAAAAAAAGACGAAGATAAATTTGTTTTAACAGCTTTATAGTTATCCTTACAGTAACTACAGAAAAAAAAAAAAAACCTGAAATGTAAACCGTTCGAAATGTCTGCTACTTCTCTGTCGGAGAACTTTTTCTCAGCTTCATAGCGCATTGTGACAATCACAACCTGGCCCACAGCTGCTGCGTGATGGTTTGTAGGAGTCAATAATGCCACGCATGAAATTCAACGCAAAAACAACTGGTCCCAGTCAAACTACGGGTGGGTGGAATGGACGTCAGACCCGAGGCTTAATTATGCAAAACAATATATATTTAAGACTTTTAAGCACCACAGCAACATTTAATGGAATTGCTGTGTACTAGGAAGCATATCAGTTATCATGCAGCTGCATAGAGGGAAACTTAGGAGCTATAAAGATCTGCAGATGACTATAAAAGTATAAAAATGTCAAAGCATGTGTCCTGCACTACTTTCAGAAATGTTTCAAACTTCTAGTTTATTCTGAGGCATTTAATCGCAAAAGCATATTTGAAAGAAAAGACTAAAGCTGACTTGAAAACCTTCTTACTACAATCTTTTAAAGTTACTCCTCTGAATCTAAGGCACTTGGCTGTTGCCCCTCTGGAGATTTTTGTGGTGCATCATGAGGCTGAGCAACAGGAAAACCTCTGAGCTTTTCTTGGAGACTACCTACAGCCAGCCTCATCTGATCTTCAGCTCCCTGGAGAGACTTCAGCTCCATGGTATAAAAGATGTACAGCAGGAAGGTGGTCAGCAGGATGGCAAAGCACAGGGCAGCCAGGAGGTAGAAGGAGATACGAGGAAAAGGCTGTTCCGCTCCCAGAGCGAAGCAGGGAACTGCTGCGATGGCCAGCTCCAGGACCAGGAGTGCTAAGCCCATCACTCCGGTACGAGCAGAGGTGTAGCGCATTCTCTCCGCACAGTGCAAGCCCACTTTGACCTCTGTGCGTGCCTCGGTTAAAGTGTCAACCAGCTCAGCTAGCTTTTCTGAACGACAGAATAAACAGACAAAGATGTTGTCAAAAAATGCTCATTAAACACTTTATTTAATACATTTTGTAAGAGAAGCATTGACAAGAGAGTCCCTTCAAGGGAAATCTATGAACTGACGCTACTTAAGTTACGTTTATGGTAGCGATACCTGTGGGAGAGTCCTGAGTTTTGTCACTTCCAGCCTGAGCTGGAACGTGGGATTCTAGCCGTAACTCTGCAGTGAGAGCCTCATGGTCAGAGTACGGGAGGGGATGGCCAGGAACTGAGCCCTTCGTGGTGGACATGAAATCGCAATAAATCTTGGTTGTAGAGGAACCCTGAAAAGACAAAGTGAGTTGAATGAGAAACAAATAAATTTAAAAAAAAAACAGTTACAGTTTGTAAAATATTCATGTGAACAAGTAGGACTTCAAAAACAAAAACAACTGCATTTAATAACTTTAAGCTTTCACCCACCTTGAACAATATGTAGTCAATCCGAATCCCCTTCTCAAAGGGAATGAGTTCATTTTTACTGATAAAAAGGTTGTCTGCTATTAAAGTCATACCATTTTCACATCCCTAAAAAAAAAGAAACATATTTGTAAAATCTTAGTAACCATGAAGAAACAAATAGTTTTTGTTTCTTCAACAAAAACTATTGCTGGAGAGTTTTTGTTCAACAATTGGAGTTTTTGTTCGAAGTTTAGTGTC